CCGCCGCCGCCGCTGAGGGTGGCGGCCCGGCGGCGGGCGGCGATGAGGAGGTGTGCGTGGTGGGCATCTTCGGGAAGACGGCGCTGCAGCTGTGCTCGGAGAAGGAGGCCCTGGTGAGCACCGTGTGCGACCGGCAGGTCTTCCCTCTCTTCGGGGAGGATGACCCCGAGCTGACGGAGGGAGGCCCCGGGCAGGAGGGCGATCCGGCGGCCAAGGACTACAACCAGCTGCAGGCCTACTACAGCCAGGAGAGCCGGGTGCTGTACCTGGTGCTCACCTCCATCTGCGACACGCCGCAGCTCCTGCGGGCCTGCGGGGACCTGGCGGCGGCCGAGAGCAGGGAGAGCGGACCCGGCCACCCCGCCGGTGGCCCGGCCCCTCTGCCACACGCCGAGGCCCACGAGTTCTGGAAACATCAGGAGAAGCTGCACTGCCTGAGCCTCCTCTACCTCTTCTCCGTCTGCCACATCCTGCTGCTGGTGCATCCCACCTGCTCCTTCGACATCACCTACGACCGTGTCTTCAGGGCGCTGGATGGGCTGCGGCAGAAGGTCCTGCCCTCCCTGAAGGCTGCCATCAAGGACTGCCCTGTTGGCAAAGAGTGGAAGCTCAACTGTAGGCCGTGCCCTCCGCGCCTCCTCTTCCTCTTCCAGCTCAATGGGGCCCTGAAGGTGGATCCCCTCCCAAGCAGGGGCCAGGACCCCTGTGGTCACCTGGAAAAGCCTCCTCCCAAGAAGCATTCCCCCAAGAGACGGTTGCAGCATGCTCTGGAGGATCAGATCTACCGCATCTTCCGTAAGAGCAGGGTGCTGACCAACCAGAGCATCAACTGCCTGTTCACCGTGCCTGCAAACCAGGCGTTCGTGTACATTGTGGCTGGTGGTCCCCAGGATGGAGATGACCCAGTGGCCATGCTTCTCGACCAACTCAGGAGCAACTGCACCATGAGAGAGACAGACTCACTGTTGGCTCCCACCCTGTCAGGACCCAGGAGGTATCAGATGATGCGACACGGCAGGCAGCAGCTGTCCTTCCATGCAGAGAGCAGCAGCAGCAGCTCCAGCTCCTCTGGGCAGCTTGTGGACTGCACCCTCAAGGAGTTCTTGTGGCAGCATGTGGAGCTGGTGCTCAGCAAGAAGGGCTTTGATGACAGCGTGGGGAGGAACCCACAGCCCTCTCACTTCGAGCTCCCAACCTACCAGAAGTGGGTTTCCGCAGCTTTAAAACTGTATGAAGTGACCATTGAAGGCAAAGATGATGACCCGACCTCCCTCACTGGGGAACTGAGCTCAAAAATCATGGGTAGCATCAAAGTCTTGGAAGGCTATTTAGATATAGACACCAAATTCTCTGAAAACCGTTGCCAGAAAGCTCTCCCCATGGCCCACAGTGCCTATCAATCCAACCTGCCCCACAATTACACCATGACTGTCCATAAGAACCAGCTGGCGCAGGCCCTGCGTGTGTACAGCCAGCACGCCCGCGGCCCCGCCTTTCATAAGTACGCCATGCAGCTCAACGAGGACTGCTACAAGTTCTGGAGCAATGGGCATCAGCTTTGCGAGGAGCGAAGTTTAACCGACCAGCACTGCGTGCATAAATTCCATCTGCTCCCAAAAGCAGGTAAAGAAGCTCACTTGTCACGGAGTCTCATGGTTTAATTTTGTACCTGCTTTAAAATGTCTTCTCTTGGGCTGAAAACATTGACTCTTCCATGTTTATGGCAGGTGAAAGCTTGGGAGCTTTAAAGCTTCATCTTTGTAGAGTGGGATTAAGCATAGCAGAGCTGTTGTGCAGGTTTCCTTCATGTTGAGTAATATTTAGGAGCAAGCACGCTGTTAGTAGGAACTTTGATTTTAGTAGTAGGAATAACTTGGATTCCATCTTGCTAATTAAAGACATTGCAGTGGAGCTCTTCTAACCAGAAGAGCAGAAGTTCTCTAGGCAGCATAAATGCCCCTCCTCCTTTTTTTAAATAGATTGATTGATGTCCATCGAGAAATGGAAACTGCTGCATGTTTATTGCAGGCAGAAGAATTATTTATGCCTTTTAGAAAGAGTTTGTGAAAACAAGATTCAGTTTAGTGATATAACCTACACTGGAACTTTGTACTAGAAGTGGGAAAGGGAAGAGTTCCTTGACAAACTGGCATTGCTGGGAAATAATTTTGCATGTGTATATAGCGGGGAGGAAGCAGTGAATGAAGGGAATTAAAGAATCTCTAGAAACGGTGAGCAATTTATCTAGGGTTTGATTGATTTTTTGCTTTTAGGGGAGAAGCCGGAAGCAGACAGAAACCCTCCAATTCTGTACCACAACAGCCGGGCTCGTTCCACTGGTGCCTGTAACTGTGGGAGGAAACAAGCTCCTCGGGATGATCCCTTTGATATCAAAGCAGCTAATTATGACTTTTACCAGGTAACTATCAGGTCTCTATTTTTGCTTCAAGCAGTGCTTTTGCTTCATCAACAAAGCCTGTATTCCGAAGTGACCACAACTAAGTTTTCTCTTAGCCTTACCAACTTGTAAACGTTGCTTGGGGGAGATATTTCTGGGAGGAGAAATTGTTTGTGTGATGGGCTGACGGGAGTGGGCGGCTCCAGTCCTCACCAGTGTGTGCTCAGAGGAGCACTGGTTTACACTTCAAGTGTGTTGGTTCACGTGAATTTTAAATCCATCACGTCTGTGGGCTGTGTTCCCATCGCTGCTTTGGTTCTTGTGTAGCGCAAACCCCTTGAATCTTAACTGTAGCTGCTGAATGTTATGACTCTGAACTCCCTCATCCCAGAGAGGGAAGATGGAAACTTAACTCCCTCTTCTTTCTCGTAGATGCTGGAAGAAAAATGCTGTGGGAAACTGGAGCACATCAACTTCCCTGTGTTTCAGCCGAGCACCCCTGATCCGGCACCTGCTCGGGATGAGGCGTCGCCTGCCCCTCCGGAAGGCGAGATCGAGAAACTTAAAGAAAAAGAACCTCAGACTCAGGGAGAAAGCACAGGCCTGAGCTTAGCCCTCAGCCTGGGTCAGTCCACGGGCAGCTTGGGCACTTACCCGCCTGACGCCCAGGGTGGAGGGGACAACACAGAGAGTCACGGGCAGAGTGGGGACTCCAAAAGTGAGAAAAGGCCAAGCCTGGTAGATCGCCAGGCTTCCACTGTCGAGTACCTCCCTGGGATGCTCCATTCTAATTGCCCCAAAGGCCTTTTGCCCAAATTCTCCAGTTGGTCACTGGTTAAGCTGGGGCCTGCTAAGGCTTATAACTTCCACACAGGCTTAGATCAACAAGGCTTTATCCCAGGAACAAACTATTTAATGCCTTGGGACATTGTCATCAAGACGAGAACTGAAGATGAAGGAGACTTGGATACCAACTCCTGGCCCGCGCCGAACAAAGCTGTTCCTGGAAAAAGAAGCGCGGTTGTGATGGGAAGAGGAAGACGGAGAGACGATATCGCTCGAGCTTTTGTAGGATTTGAATATGAAGATGCACGTGGTAGGAGGTTCATGTGTTCGGGGCCTGATAAGGTCATGAAAGTGATGGGAGGGGGGCCGAAGGAATCCGCCATCAAAGCCCTCAATTCCGACATGCCCCTGTACATCCTGTCGTCGACTCAGGGCCGAGGACTCAAGCCACACTACGCTCAGTTCATGAGGCTCTTTGTGGTGGTTCCTGACGCTCCGCTGCAGATCACGTTAACGCCTCAGGTAGGGAACGGCAGAGGGAAGCTGGTAACTGTGGAGAAAGGGTGGGTCGTTACAATAGTTAATTGCAGGACAGGGAGGCACAAAGGTGGTGGGCAAAGGGTGCCAGAGGGATGCCACAGGCAACTCTCCAAACCAACTTTGGTCACATTCTTCAAGGCAGTAGTCACCAAAAGTATCGGATTTGTAAACAGTTCTTTGGGTTTTCATTTGGTTGGTGGTGTTTGTTTGGCACAAAGGTGGTGGGCAAAGGGTGCCAGAGGGATGCCACAGGCAACTCTCCAAACCAACTTTGGTCACATTCTTCAAGGCAGTAGTCACCAAAAGTATCGGATTTATAAACAGTTCTTTGGGTTTTTATTTGGTTGGTGGTGTTTTGGTTTTTTTTTTTTAAGTTCAAGATTGGCTCCTGCCAGCTTTATACTTCATATAAAGTAAGTTTTAAAAAATATTTTATCAAGGACAAATGAATAGCATTCCATACCATAACGATTGCTTAGTTTGAGAAAGATAACAAGTAATGACTGTGTGAGAATGAGGTTTTTAAATGTCACAGAGAAAAGCAGTGACTCATTGCTGAGATTCATTATTATTAGTTACCCCTTTGAATTTAGGAGGTGAAAAGGTGTTGGCTTTTTTAACAGGAGCTTTTTTTCCCATTTTCAAATATGTGTTAAAAAAAAAAAGCTCCATTTACACTTTCTTACTTTTTAAGTTACTAAAATATGAACAAGCGTGTCTTCCTTCAATTGCTGCTATATGAAATACTGTGTGCACATAAGTGCTTGTTATTTGTTAGACTATGGCAAGAAAATTGGTGTTCATTGGACAGTAGGACCACTGAAAAACAGGAAGAACTCCAGGTTCAGTTTGTGCTGATAATTATTTTGCTCTTCATTTCCCAGTTTCCATCTGTATCACAGCTTTTGACTCCTAAGGGTGTGGTTTTATTCAGAAAATCCGTTATGCTTTGTGCTGTGGGTTCCTTCATCAGTTCCTCATGCACATAAGACTTTCTTTTCATATGAATTGTACAAGAGTCATACTAAGTGTTGATGGAATCGTTGGCAATTCAGGCTGGTTTAGAGTGAGGTAACAGCTCGAGGATACATGTGCTACAGTGTTGAAATCTGCTGTAACACACGTTTACTCCTGCCTGAGAGGTGAATGGCTTGTGTTTGTATCATGGGTCTCCTTGGTGGTAGATCACCTACTCGGCAGCCTTAAATTCAGCATCTTCACTGTGATAAAATTGGAAATATATGGATGTCTGACAAAAAGGTGCAGTGGTTTCCTGGAGTGTGCTCCAGTGAGTAAGAACCTGGTTGTAGCCAAGACTTAACAAACTTCCTTGGATTCAGTTTGCTCTTAAGTTTGATAGTGGTTTGGTTTTTTTTTTTAAATTCTAATGATGTTTGATTACCGACTTATATTTCCTTTTGTTTTCAGGTTCAACCAGGGCCACCACCTTGTCCTGTATTTTACCCTGAGAAGCAGGAAATAACCCTTCCATCCGATGGACTGTGGGTGCTTAGATTTCCTTACGCCTACGTGACAGAGCGTGGACCCTGCTTTCCTCCCAAAGAAAGCCAACAATTAATGAGTTACAAAGTTCTCCGAGGAATACTGAAAGCGATTACACAATAAGATTTATTATGGTAGATTGAGATTAGTTTAAAAAGATTAATCAATCCAAATCCTGGATTTCGATTCCCCTCTGTTGGCAAACAGCTATCATTGATCGAGTGAAGCCCCATGTTTTCCTGGAACACCATCAGGTTGAAAATAAGGTCTGGTGTTAAAGTGGATAAAAGAATCCAAGAGACGTGTAAATTTTCTGTCTATTGAATTTTCGTATGTAACAAATAAAAGCTGGTTATCGCAATCCACTGAGCCCGTATTGCTAGTTTTTTCAATGATAATGCTTTTCCCCATCATATCTTTTGGAATATTTAAAAATTAGCATTGCCTGAAATCAAGAGTTGCCTTTATCATATTGAGGCAATAATGAGCAGAATCTTTTCTTCTTTTCTAAACGAGCTATTTCTATGTAAATGATAGATGCTTTTAGTGTGCTGATGCAAGAAATCATTTCTCTTCGATCTTGTCTTTGAAAAAGAAAAATGACATTGCAGTTCTGATCTGCATGGACACCATAGCCAGAAACTGTGCTTGCTATATCCAGTTGATTTATTTTACTGTATTTGTATCCATAGATCAGATTTTTGTTAAATGGTGACTTAATTTCATATTTTGTAACGACAGATCTCTTTGGAAACTAAACCTGCTGGTGAATTTGTGGAAAATATAGAGCTGTACAAGCTTGTTCATTATAAGCAACTGCTGCATGTCAGTATAGCTTGACTTGTAGTGATTAAAAAGGCTTTTGGTTGCTAAAAGGAGGGTTTTGGCCCAGTTTGAATCTCAAATTGAGTTTGTGTAATTCTATTACGCTTTCCAAAAGATGTGCTATGTGATGTACTAAAAGGTGGCTTAAATCCCACAAGCTTTGCTTGTGGCTGTGGGTGCCAAAAAATTAGTCACAGTAAACCAGCTTCTACCTTTTTGTCAAGGTAAGATGTGTTAGTGAGATTGGCTGTACACTGAGAGCTGATTTAATTTCTGGAGTATTTGTTTTTAATTGGCATGCATACAAAATTTAATTTGCCGATTTGTTAGAATATGGTAATTAACACTTCATGGCCAGGGTTGAGACCAGGTTTGTGTTGGGCGGCTCTGACCAGCTGGGTGTGGAAACACCTCCCGGCGCCTGCAGAGAGGTCACTATCTCCCTCTGCACGCCCTAATGAATTGAGATTTACAGAGCACTTAGCTATTCCGGAGCCCAATCAATAAAAATTAAAAGCACCTCAGAGAACAGTTGTCCCTGGGAGGTGTGGTGGTGCTACAGGGCAGCGGGGAAAGCGAAATGGGAAGATAAAGCCTGTAATTGGAAATCGCTTGCAGAATTTGGTAACTAAAAAATAAAAAAGCGAGCCGTGACAGATGGGCTGGAGGTGCGAGGGAGGAGGCCAAGCCCTCCTGAGGGGGAGCCCACCTCATGGCTGAGACCTCTTGAGGGGAGCTCCTCTGAGGGGGAGCCCACCTCACAGGAAAGCTTCTCTGAGGGGGAGCCAACCTCATGGCCGAGTTCTCTGGGGGGGAGCCCACCTCACAGCCAAGTCCCTCTGAGGAGAGCTTCTCCGAGGGGGTGCTCACCTCACAGCCAAGCTCCTCTAAGGAGAGCTTCTCCGAGTGGGAGCCCACCTCATGGCCAAGCCCCTCTGAGGAAAGCTTCTCGGAGGGGGAGCCCACCTCACGGCCGAGTCCCTCTGAGGAGAGCTTCTCCGAGAGGGAGCTCACCTCATGGCCAAGCTCCTCTAAGGAGAGCTTCTCTGACGGGGAGCCCTTCGGAGGGGGAGTCCACTTCATGGCCAAGCCACTCTGAGGAGAGCTTCTCCGAGGGGGAGCCCTTCGGAGGGGGAGTCCACCTCATGGCCAAGCCTCTCTGAGGAGAGCTTCTCCGAGGGGGAACTCACGTCACAACCGGGCCCCTCTGAGGGGAGCCTGCCTGACGGCCGAGCCCTTCCGAGAGAAGCTCCTCTGAGGTGAAGCCCTTGGGAGGGAGCCCCC